TTCGTTATTTTAGTGTGTTTCCCCTCTTTTTTGCTCTTCAATATCGCTATTATTCATTTCCTGCTAATCCAACGATTGTCTCCTGATGAGATGTTGGCTGAAAGGGCTCTAGAGACTTTTATATTAAAATCAATGGTTTCCTAGTTTTTAAAACTATATATATATATATATATATATATATATATATATATATAGAGAGATATATAGAGAGAGAGAGAGAGAGAGATACATAGATAGATAGATAGGAAAATAGTTAAGAACAGACATAGATAAATGAACAAAGATAAATATATATATATATATATATATATATATATATATATATATATATATATATATATATATATGGAGGACAGAATCATTCCAAAATATTCTGATGTCTCCTTATTTACACAGGAAAGCTAGTCTTTCTAGTACATATATATATATATATATATATATATATATATATATAGATAGATAGATAGATAGATAGGTAGATAGAAGGATGGAAAATAGGTAAGAACAGACTGATAGAAAGATAGATAGATAGATATATGGAAAATAGGTAAGAACAGAATGAGCTAGATAGATAGATATATGATAGACAAATAGACAGATAAATAGTTAATAAATACTTAACAATTGTATATATATATATATATATATATATATATATATATATATATAGACTGTCAAAATCATTCCACATTCCACAATATTCTAATGTTTTATTTACGCTCTAGTCTTTCTAGTATATATATATATATATATATATATATATATATATATATATATATATATATATATATATATATATATGAATTCATTATTCCAAATATCATTTGACTGGATATATGAATCAGAGGTTGAAGAGCGTATGAGTTCGGCACCTTTAGGGGTTCAAAATGGTTCTTATATTCCTAAGTGTTAATATCCTGGAATTTATTTCCAGTTTGGCGTCATTCGATGGAATTGAATTTAATAAAGATTTTCGGAGTGGAAAGTGAAGTTCATTGGAGCTAGGAAATTTCGACAATCTCGGTTTTCCCAGGCACAAAAGCGCACCAGATTGATCACATTAGGTGTTTCCTGCTGCAAACTGTCTGCTAAAATCTAGGGAACCGTGGTCATTTGAAGAAACGTGACTTATTTGCAGACAACGATGATTAATATAAATAAGAGATGGTAGGTGATTAATAAACCAAGTAAATGGGTATTTACGTGGTTTAGCTTAATCTCAAGCATGTATGCAAACAAAATTGTTAGTTTTTCAAAACATATACAATACTTAAATTTATGCCACTCTAAAATGACCTAAATATTAATTACATTAAAAAAAATTCAGCATCATTTTCACTTTTTCCTTTATTAGACATTAAATTATATCACTTAGCGACCTTTATAATTTACCTAGACTTTTCAGTAATATTTATGTTTCATAAATATTTAAAACATTTTTAATTTAAACATTTCTGCTTCAATTTATAAAAATTTCCTTTAAAATAAAATCCGAAGATTAGCCTTGATAAAGTCCGTCAGAAGATGAAACGCGTTGGCTAATATAAGTTTTCATTTGGTCTTTATTTATGTTGTCCTATTACAGATATATTTCTGTCATATCTGCAATTATATATATATATATATATATATATATATATATATATATATATATATATATAGATATAGTTCGAAAAGTCCGAACTTAAAATCTTTCTTTCAATATAGTCAAAAAGCTAATATGTAATAAATATCATCAATTTTGTCTGTTTATTCCTCAAATTTCATTAAGCACCCTATTATATATATATATATATATATATATATATATATATATATATATATATATATATTATAAATTAATTGATTTAAAATTTTTTTTCATGTTTTCTAATTGTTTCAAAAATGGTTGCTAAAGCCCGAATTTAATTAGTTCCATTTCATCCTCAAGCGAATGGAACTAATGTTTTAATTTAATTACAAAATTAAATTCGGGGCTTTTTAGCTTCCATTTTTGAAACATGGTTAGAAATGTAAGCGGAAAAACCATTTTTAAATCAATTAATTTATAATAATGCTCTGTAAATTTACATCGAGCACTATTTTGTAAAAATAAAATATCTATAAGAACACCGGATTATATATCTTGCTGTTTTTTTTTTATATATATATATATATATATATATATATATATATATATATATATATATATATATATATTCGATTTATTCGATTAAGAACTTTGGAGAGAAAGCGCGAATTTGTAAACAGTGAATACGACTACTGATAATGCAAGACTCTCCTAACGGATTGTGTTCTCTCGGCCAATTGCGTGTTTATTTAAAAACAAATACACAAAAATTCACACTCATCTCTAATGGGCACGAATAGTTATTTTACGAATATAATCTCGACTGATACAAATCAGCCCGATTTCGATCCCGGACTGAACGATCGGATGTCTAGTTACACTGACGTGTTGTGATACAGCGAAACAGTCTCTTGATCATATTTATTATATATTTGCCTTTGACTAAATTGAAGCAAGGAGAGAAAGATTTTAATGTTGGAATTTTCGGACATACCTGTGTGCTTTTTCAACGAGACAATGAATAAAGGAAGAAGTAAACTAAAATCATTTAAAATGTTATTTGAGTTTACCCAGAGAACATAGTTTCTAACCAACAAGAACAATCCACTGAAGAGCGAGTCCCACTTTATTCTTATTCTTCTGCAGGACGATAACAACAGACAATGGGACCAATAAGAGATTTCAAGAAGAGTCTCATTGTTGGGAAGTGTACGTTGTTCCAACTCGGTTGTTTACAGACAGATCAATAGATAGATAGATAGATAGATAGATAGATAGATATGAAAAGGCTGAGATAGATAGATAGATAGATAGATATGAACTGATTCAGACTGATAGATTAGATAGATATGACATACTTCATATATATATATATATGTGTGTGTGTGTGTGTGTGTGTGTCTGTGTCTGTGTCTGTGTCTGTGTGTCTCTGTGTGTGTGTGTGTTGCTAGCTAGATAAATAGATATGAACTGATTCCGAGGGAACCAACAGCACGACACCAGCACATAAGATTTGATTATACTGTTGAAGGATTCGTGCAGGACCATCCACACTTTTTGAAGGGCCGATTACAGAGACCTAGTGCACTACGTGCCACAGGGTCCCCAAACGACCATCCGCAGGTTTTGAATTCAGAGTTGTCATTCTCCTAGACCAGTTGACATCCAAGGCTATAGAACCCAGTCTGTCCTGCTATTTACCCATAGCTGGAGGGAGAAGAAGAGGATTCACACCTTTCCCAAGGATATTAGCACGGAAGTGAATGTAATGGATCGACTGGAATGCGGACTCGGCTCACTGATTTCTCAAACCAAGCCGGTAACCATTAATTTACAGTGCATCTAAACAATATATATATATATATATATATATATATATATATATATATATATATAAAAAAACATTACCATATTAGTACAAAAACGCACAATCTTAAAATTTAAAATTAAAAAACCTCAGCGTTTCGACCGCACGCTCCCCAAAAAATTCTTACAATTAACAATAACACATTTCTAAAAACATATTTCGGATTACATCTATTTTTTTCGTTGTCCTGTTATTACCGAGAAGTAAAAAAACAAAAACAAACCTATTCCCATACCTGATGATGACTGTAGGAACATATGAAAGCTTACAAAAAAATTAAAAAAATACCTTATGCAACTGGAATTTATAAACATTCATCTACAGTTTCGGGGTTAATGTACTTTATTAAATTTGTTTTCAAAGATGCATTCTCGCTATTTATTTCATAAACTTCTATATCTGTTTTTTGTATGAATGATTCATGTAATATATATATATATATATATATATATATATATATATATATATATATATATATAGAGAGAGAGAGAGAGACAGACAGACAGACAGAGACAGACAGAGAGAAGATACATAAATATGAACGAATTTATATACATATATTGTTGAAACTTGAATAAAGCATGGAATAATACTAATACAACACAAAATGTTCTTAAACAAAATGTATTGAAACAAGAACGTGTACAATAATATTTACAGATGGTTTGGTATATTCTTGGGAAGACTGTTCCTGTAGAATGGGTTGACGTAGTCGCCAGTCGGGCAGAGTCTCTGGATTGGATCTCTTCTTCCTCCCCCGTCTTCCCGGTACCAACCATATTTATATGGTCGGTACTCCACTATGCAAATTAGGTGGATCGTACCACAACATATATATATATATATATATATATATATATATATATATATATATATATATATATATATATATATATGAATTGATGTCACAGATATATAGATAGATATGAACTGACTGAGATAGATAAGTAATGATGTAAATGGTGTATATATATACATATATATATATACACATATACATATAGAGAGAGATATGATCTGATTCAGACAGATAGATAAATATGCACTGATACAGATAGATAGATAGATAGATAGATAGATGAAGAAAGAATAGAAATATTTTTTTTTATCTTTCGTACCCATCATACTGAAAATAAAATACTTTAATTCCTAAAAACATGATGTAAACATTAAGTATTTATGCTTAGCTTTTTGATATTGGATAAAAAAAAAGTGAGAAATTGTCGAATCGCGAGTTTACTTTTTTTCTTCTTTACATTTTGCATCAGATCCTTTAAAATAGCTTTCGGACAAAGTTTCGCACGGAATAAACCGATAACAAATATAGACAGATGAAGAAATAGATATGAATAAAATAAAGCTAGATAGAGTTTGAACTCAGTGGGTCATTCTTCTTGCTTTTTTTCATCTCAAAATGATATAGTTGCAAGTGTACAGCCTGAATTAACAAAATGTTTTCCGAAATGCTACTTTCTAAACATTAAACATTTACTCAAGTTTTTCCCAAATCACAATATTTGGACAGTTTATTTTCTATTCTCTTCTAATTTCGTTTTACCCAATATGTTTTACTTTTCAATTGAGCTTCTTTTTTTTTGTATACCCGTCATTTGTAAAGTGATATATGTATTCGATTCTGTCATGTTTCTTAGGAATTTCTCATCTTTGCGTGAGGTCTATCCAGTATCAAGTACGCAGTGTGACAATAATTAAAGATTAATATTATGTCAGGATTTACATAAGTAAACAGCAAGAAAAAAATATCAAGTCTACCCTGGGAAATTTGTTTGATTTATTTGTCTTTGATGCGAAAATGTTTTAAAACCGTTCTTGCTAATGTTAGAGATTCCCGGTTTGTAAAGTACATATGGTTAATGTTTTCCTCAGCCTATGTTTCTATAACAGCTATCTGTCTTCCTTCCTTTTTTTTCTTTCTTTTAATCTATCGATCTTTCTTTATTTCTCTCTCTTTCTCTCTTTATCGATCTATCAATCTTTTTTATATCTACCTGTGAGTCTTTTCATATCTATCTATCTATCTATCTATCTATCTATCTATCTATCTATCTATCTATCTATGTACCGCAATCTTTTTATATCTATCAATCTATTCATATCTATCTATTTGTCTATGTAACTCGGTTAATTCATATCTATCTATCTATCTATCTATCTATCTATCTATCTATCTATCTACGTCAATCTTTGTATATCTATCAGTCTTTTCATATCTATGTTTATTTATCTATGTATCTCGGTCTATTCATATCTATCTATCTATCTATCTATTTATCTATCTATCTACATCAATCTTTTTATATCTCTCAGTCTTCATATCTATCAATCTATCTATCTATGCATTTATCTATGTATCTCGGTTTATTCATATCTATCTATCTATCTATCTATCTATCTATCTATCTATCTATCTATCTCTGTTTCTGTCTGTCTCTTTATATATATATATATATATATATATATATATATATATATATATATATATGTATGTATATAAAAAACCTAATCTTTTCATATCTAAGTTTTCCTTATCTATCTTAGTCTATTCATATCTATGTTAGTAAATTCATATCTATCTATCTATCTATCTATCTATCTTATTCTTTTTACATATATCAGTCTTTCATATATCTATCTATTTATCTATGTATCTCAGTTTTTTCATATCAACCTCTATCTCCCTTTATATATATATATATATATATATATATATATATATATATATATATATATATATATATCAAACTGAACCTTTATTTAATCTACGGAGGTAGAATGTTCCCGTTCCACTGCCCATGTCTAGTGATGTCTCGTCTAGTTCTTATTTAGATGACGCAATGACCGAACTGTCATGCTAGCAATAACAATGACGCGGACAATATTCTGAATATAAACTTGTAAATATTTTATATGTTTCGTCTAACAGTATAATGTAGAGGGCTGACTGAAATGTTCAGACCCTTTATCCATATTTTTTCCCTTTGACTTTTACCATTCTCCCTGAAATCAAGATTTAAAAAGCGTGTTGTTATATGTACTCCGAGCAATGTCCACTAGGGGGCTATAAATGTTAACCTATCGACGACGTTTATTACACGATAAATCCTGACAAATTTTGCGTTATGTCTCTTTATTGCAGCGATAAAAGTGAGATGGTCAAATTTATAGTCAGTTTACCCAGAAGATTTTCACATGAGATGCACAAGATTTAGACTTACACGTCTATGTAGAAATCTTCTCCTGAGAAGGAATTGAAGATTTCAATAGGTTATTCCAAGAATAAAAAAATGCAAATGACTGATTTTGAAATTGCTATATTCCAAGTAAATGACCTTGATTTCTTAAACGTGTAGGCAGTTGAAACCTTTTGTTAAATCTATCCTGTTTTCAGATATTTCAAATTGCATATTATCGAAGACTTCAATATTTTCCGTCAAAATAAGCCATACACAACAACAGGGCTTTCAATGGAAATCGAAAAACAATGGGGTCAAATAATTCCAGACATTCTGAGACGAATTGTAATTGGAGAAGAAATTTGGTAATTTAACTCTAGAAAAAATTTGGCATTGTAACTGGAGATGAAATATTTTACTCTAACCGGAGCCGAAAATTGGCATTTTATTTGGAACTGAATCTTGGAATTGTAACTGCAGAAGAAACATTGTATTGTAACTGTAGCTGAAATTTGGCATTGTAAACAGAGATTAAATTTGACGTTGTAACTGGAGAAGAAAGTTGGCATTGTAACTGGAAATAAAACTTGACATTGTAACTGGAGATGAGACTTGACATTTTAACCGCAGATGAGACGTGGGATTGTAACGGGAAACGAAATTTGTGACCGGAGACGAAACTTATCTTTGTGACTGTAGGCAAAACTTGGCATTGTAACTCTAGGTGAAAATTGCCATTGTAACTGAAGACGAAACTTGGCACTATAACCTGTGATGAAACTTGACCTTGTAACTGGAGACGAATCTTGGCATTGTGACTGGAGACGAAACTTGGCATTGTAACCGGAGATGAAACTTGACTTTGTAATTGGCGACGAAACTTGATCTTAATGACAAAGTTCTATCAATACAATGGTTCTGTGAAAGAGGAAAAGGGTTCAAACAAAACAAAATAAACTCGCCATGAGGAAATCTATATCAGCAGTTTGAAATGCTGAGAACAATTTGCTAGTTGATATTTTTTCTAAACGGGAGAAAGAAAGTGGCATCTGCTTATTACGAAGTCGTTTTTCAAAAAAAAAAAAAAAAAACCCAAAAAACTGCTAAAATTTTAGCAGAACAGTGCTGTCGAAAACTTCATCAAAGAATTCTTTTTTTCCACCACGATAATGTCACTACTCATTACAATGACCAAATTGGAAAGTGTTAGGAGAATCTCAAAGAAGATGGTTACGTATTAATCTTAGAGTTCTAATTTCGCACTTTCTGATTTGTCTTATCTCCTCAACTAAAAATATTTTGAAACATACCAATATTGAGACCATTAACGAGGCATATGTTTTTACATGTTTCAATTCTCGGAACTCTCCATTCTTCCAGAATAGTAGAAATAGCTTCTGTCACAGCTTAGAAAATCGCTTTTATATTCATCGAACATACGTGGAAAAATAACGCTTTTAATTCCGTTTTCAAATACTTTGCGTATTTCAAATTTATGTTGCCTTCCTGAAATTATTTCCATTGCAAATATTCAGATGAGCTCTTTAGTTCTACGAGCATAGGCATTTGCAGCTGTCATAAGACATGCAGCTTCGACGAATTCGAATTACCATAATAACCTCTGTGTTCAAAATGTAAAGCGAACAACTACCAAATAGTTCCCTGTTCTGGAACAGGATTCGCCGTAGGCAATACCTTGAACTCTTTAATATTAACCCCTCCAAGTTAAGGGTTAAGTGTCAACTTTCCTCTGTTTCATCGAACCTCATTCTATCCATTCATATCATGTACCTCATTCATCATTATCGGTTTGATTATATCCCTCTAGATAAATGGCTCTCGGGCTTTGTTTTGAGGGAAATTTAGTACAAAATATTAACTTAATCCTCATAAAGATATCTACAATAAATGTAAGGCATATAGTTAGAATATGCCATACAAAGACAACCGTCTTAACCTCTTGGAAGCCATGAAAAAGGATTTAATATTAACCCCTTCAAGTCAAGGGTTAATCCATATCTTTCCCCCTTCACTTCTAACCGTCATCTCTCCAGTCATATGATGTACTTTATTCGTTATTATCGGTTCGACTCTATCGCTCTTGCGCGAGGGCTTCTCCTGTATTTTCTTGACTGAAATTGGGTAGAAACGATTAAGTTGTTTTACTTAAAAGTGGGATACGATGTATATAAGACTTGTAGTTAGAAAATAGTATCATTAAACGAAAGAAATCAGGAAAGCGATATTGATGATTTAGAAAAGGTCGCTTCAGATAACGATAAAGAGTCGTGTAGACGCCATCTTTTTTGGCCTTGTATGATTTTGTCTGATCTGAGTAATAGCTAAAGAACTGAATAGTGGCAGAGACGAAAGATTTACTCAATGCGGGATGCTAACATGATTGGTTAAATATCTAGTCACCATTCTTTTTTTTTTATATAGATTCTGTTCGAGATTTTGTCACA